ACTCTCAAATGCACAACAGATCAGCCCGCCTGGTTTCAATGAAAACCTCTGGCCCGTGCAGGGGCTGTTCATCCGCCCCGGGACCGAGCCCCGCCGGCGCAGCCCGTCCCGTGGCAGTCGTATTTTTAAAGTGTTTTCCATTGTAAAAGGGTTCTTGCAGAAATGAAGTCAGAGGCCACATTCTGTCTGGTGGGAACACCCCGTGCGCCGAGGAGGGGAGCAGCAGAGCCAGACAGGAATAGCTGTACAGCAGATTTTGGCAGCGCTGGCTGCCTTGGGTGGCAGCGGGGAGGTGATCCCCTCTGGGCACCGCTTCTCTCTTCGCTTTCGCATCGGGCTTGTGCTCTCAGATCGGGAAGGCAGCAGCAATCCCCCTCTCTGGCCCGGAGAGCCCCGGTGCTTCCCCAGCTCCGGCACCGCTGTGGGAGCATTTTGTGGCTCTGGGCTTTTGAAACGACAGGGATCTTCCTGGCACAGCTTTATGCCTTGCATTAAAACATTAACTTCATTATTTCTGGTATGAAAATAAAATCAGGGCAAGCAGGGAACATAAATAGATTTTACAAGACTTTAAGAGAGGGGAACTTCAGCAATGCAGATTTTGGACCCCCTTCAGCTTATTTTTAAGGCAAAATGTGGGCTCTGGATGGAAACAGGCTTTCAAGTCTGCTCCGTTTTTAATGTCCCAACATGTCCTTTTGCTTATGGGAGAAACTGCGGTGTAGAGGGGCCCACAGGCTGAGCAGAAACGTTTTTGTTTGCACTGGGGGCTGGTTTCCCCCTTGCCCAGCGCCTTGGAGAGGGCTGCGAGCCTGTGGGGAACACCAGGGCCGCATCCTGCCCGTTCGCACCTTCTCCCCATCCAGCTCAGCCCCGAGGGCAAGGACACCCCGAGGGAGCGGGGAAAGTCCCACCAAGCCCCTGCGCAGCGAAAAAACCACCCTCCCCCTTCCACGGGGGACCGGGACCAGCCACCTCCTCGCCGTGTCCATCTTCGGCTTCGCCCAGGAAGAAAGGGAGGTAAAAAAGGGAAAAGCGAGGTAAAACGGGTGGCGGCGTCCCTGGGTGGGCTCGAACCACCAACCTTTCGGTTAACAGCCGAACGCGCTAACCGATTGCGCCACAGAGACCGCGGTGATCGACGGGGCTGCGGCCGCCGCACTCAGCCGGGGCATCCCCGGGGGCGGGGCTGCGCCACCG